TTGCTCATGCCAAGCCTGTCTTGCCAGCCTGCCCATGTCTGTTTTTGCCATCACCCTCTGAAGTAAGTTTTTTGTTCATTAAATCATTTCACCTACCGTCACGCTGCCTGTCCATAGGCATTCTGGGGTCCTCCGCTACACAAGCTGTGACATGATTACCAAGACACTTCAGATCCACCTTGAATAATGCATAGATCAGACCCCTCTGTTTTACCAAAAGAAATGCTGCTTTCTCTTGTCGTGGCCAAGGTTTGGAATATTGATGGGATTCTTTCACGTGAGGTTCTTTCTCATTTTGGAATCAGGAACTGGAGTCCACGTTTTAGAAAACATATTGTGCAGTGAAAACATGAATTTGAATCAAAATTCATTTTCCATACCTGCAGAATCTTGCCTAGGGTTGCTGTGGGGCCTCAGACTATCTCCAGCTGTCAATAAACACCCAGGACATATTCCCAGTCCATCAGAAAGCCCAATAAAAATTCACTCTAATTCAGGATAGCAAAAGCAAGTAATACATTTATTTATTTTAAACAAATAAATGTATTAAACACGAATATTTTCAACTGTATTGGAATACCCAATATAGTCATCCTCTCACAGTGGTAAATAGGGTGATAAATAGTGTAGAGCTATATTTCAGAATTATCATTCATTCATGTTTTACTTCATGTTAAATTTGTATGGCTTCTCAGAAATGCCTCAAGCTTTCTAGCAGTGCTGAAGCAGGTGTTTCTTTTGTGCTGACAGGTTTAGAGAATAGTTCTATGAATAAGAAAATGTTCCATTGATTATAAGTTTCATAAAAATGAAAGATTGAAAATAAACAATGGGAAGGAATTTTCTCGATTGTCTAACTAGTTAATGGTTTTTAGAATGATGACAATACCATCTAAACTATGGTTTTTAAATTGGCATTCAGAAGTTGCTTTATGATTGCCTTCATCCATCCATCCATCCATCCATCCATCCATCCATCCATCCATCCATCCATCCATCCATCCATCCATCCATCCATCCATCCATCCATCCATCCATCCATCCATCCATCCATCCATCCATCCATTTTTGTCTGCTACAACATTCAGTGTCTTCTAAGGTAGTTAGGTTTGTTTGCTATCCCAGCTGCCAACAAGAAAAATGTTGGGTACACATTAACATTATGCTAGCATTAGGTAGCATTAGCCTACCCTCACACGAATTCTAGCTTGCACCCTTCGTTTTGACACAGATCCATGGCTTCTCTCTCTCTTCTGTACTGATCCAGAGTACTTCGTCTTGCTGCCAGCAGCCTTCTCTGGCTCTTCTTTCACTTTGAGTTTGCCAACAGCCATTGACTGAGCAGCAGGTCCTTTGTTGTTGTTGTGTTTGTGTCACTACAAATCACATGACGTTACTTTTTTGGACCGTGGGGCTGCCTTGCTGTTCATGATCCCGGCCACATTGAGATGGTCAATTGTAATGGAAAACAAACCAAACCGTGAAGAGCCAACCCGCTCCGACCCAAGTCACATAGAGTAGATACTAATGGAATAGGGGCATTACTTATGACTTGGGAAGTAATGACATAGTCCCACCTCTGCAGTAATGTAGCTGTCAAAAAAGATTCTAAGGAAACCGTCTGTCAAGCCACTCAAGCTCAATAAGTTTGTTTAAATTTTTTACAGTTTGTGCTTAGACCCTAAAAAGTCATTTCAAGCCAAGGTTATATGTGGTGGATGCAAAGGAAGGGGAAATACTGCTATGCAATTGGACAGCTGCTACAGTCAAATGCTCGCTCCTTCATTTTGCTCAGACACAAAGAAAAATGAATCACAACTACAACTAATTATTGGGGTCACTGGCGTTGACTTTGCAGCAATCCCTCATACTGAGCATGCATGTAGCGACAGTGGAGAGGAAAAACTCCCTTTTAACAGGAAGAAACCTCCAGCAGAACCAGTGTGAGCAGCCATCTGCCACAACTGACTGGGGGTTTGAGAGAACAGAGCAGAGACACACAAAGAACACAGAAGCACTGATCCAGGAGTACTTTCTATGGGAAGGAAAAGTAAATGTTAATGGATGTAGCTCCTTTAGTCGTTTCATCTAGANCAGAGCAGAGACACAAAGAGAACAAAGAAGCACTGATCCAGGAGTCCTTTCTATGGGAAGGAAAAGTAAATGTTAATGGATGTAGCTCCTTTAGTCGTTTCATCTAGGAAGAAAGAACAGATAAACTTTGAGCCAGTTTTCAAGGTTAGAGTCTGAAAGAGAGCACATATAATTAGTTACAGTAAAAGCTCAGTCAGTAGCCATGTCTAGGAGGACAATATGGTTAAACACTGAAAGACAGGGCCATGTGTATCATCGGTAGAAAAAAAAGAAAGCATTTTGTTACCCGATAAACTGTATACTTATAACGCTCAAAATTGCCTTGGTGGTCTGGCTGTCAAATCGTTGCTCAAGCTACTGTATCTGTCCTAGCCAAAGCATCACATGTGTCTTGTTGCATTCCCTCGGCTTTCAGTAGTTCCTTTCCATCAAATCCAAGACTGTAACTGTTTCATAATTCTAGGGAATAACTTTTTCCAACAGGAAGACAGTTTTTGGCAGGTGAAGAGAAATCAAATGACTTTACTTGTTTACTTTCACTGAGCTCACCCACATGTCCTACATACATTATCTTTAGAGCAAAAGTCCTCACTGTATTGTTTATCTTTAAAGTCTTTTTGTCTGAAGTGAGATATAGTGACAGGCTTCAAAAAGGTGCAGTTATAGATGCTGGGTCATCATATATATATAGTATATGAGAGGGCATATTCTGTTTCGAGGATGTGACTCAAAAGGCTCTGTTTGTGTCAGAAACATGTGTTTTATTTGCTATTAATTCCTTTTGAAAAACTGCATATATTGTTTCTGACTTAAGTTTCATACCTCTTAAGATTCTTATGTTTTCTTTTGGCTCTAACACATGTTTGGCCTTTTAACAAATGATCTGCTTTTGCTTAAACAATTTAAGATGACATTATTAAATGTATGACTGCATCAAAGAAAACACAATATGATAATAGAGGCTGTGTTAGTGTTGAACCATATCTTGGGTTTCTCTCAGGTAGATTTAAAAAATGATCCAGAGATTTAAGGCGTTTCCTTATTACAGGTCATCAGAGGTTATTTAATTAATATTTGTCCCAGATTTGACGCAAGATGTGCTGTAATTGTATGTCTTTCTAGCTCTTGGACTCTGGATGAACTCAATCTGTACAGTACCTTTTTCTCTCTTACCTTCTGAACATAAATTATGCAGTCAACTTCCACGTTTTTGTAAAAAACCAAAACGGAACACAAGCAACAGCAGTGAAATACAGATGCTTTGCTGAAAATAAAAAGTGGGGCTGTTGACATGTGACAGGTGGATTGTATTAGAGCTGTTATGTGACAGGTGAGCAGTTTCCCTCACACTAGAGCACCTGCTCATTACCAGCCCATGTGCAGAATGCATACATTATGTGTGGTACAGATATCCACTTGCTGCCATTAAAAAAGGTTGGTCACTCACACTGGTTCTCTTCTTGGACTTTGGGTTTGGTTGAACTGAGATATGACAAACAGAGGACTTGTGTAGATGTAATAGATGTTATCTTCATAGCTCTGTGCATCAGAATGCAGGTCAATTCCCCTCTTTGCCACAGGCCAACAAAAAGCGAGTTAATAGAGGAAGGATGGCCAGGAGATCGATGCTCTGTCACAAGTCAGGACATTTTGTTATCTACACAAATAATGATGTTTTTCTTCCATGTGACATTTCTTTCAACAAAGGCGCATACAATTATTGTTGTGGTTAGCTTTTAATTTTATGAAGAACAGTATGGAGATACTTTATTGTTCTCCAAAATACTGACCTGACTATACGGTCAACTGTTTTTTACACCCACCTTATATACAAGTTACAGGTAACTCTTTTAAGATTTCCTTTGTTATGCATGTCACCTCCCATCACTGCTCTGGGGTTAACCAATAAGTAAATTGACATGATTTGGCCCCTTGGACCCAGAGATCACCTTGCATGGCAGTCCCCATGAGAAAGGGTCGTAGCTGGGGAGAGGTGTACACTCTTCCAAATTGTGCATATACTGGTTATTTGTAGACCTTAGAAAGCAACTTTTTCATTCTGCAAAACAATCTGATGCTAAATGTGATTGTCAAACTGTCAAAGAGAAGCCCTGGTGCTGTATCTATCAATGAGGAGAGAGGAGGAAAGAGATAAGGGGATGGAAAAAACGCATTTAGTTGCTTATAGAGTTTATAGTATAAATTTTATAGTAGTTGACTCATTAAAAACAAATTCACTTCAAATTTAGACAGACAATTATTCACCTTGTCACGGCTTGTTTCAGCCTTTGCATTCATCATGGCTTGTGGGTCATCAGTCATATTTTGGATCAAGCAACAAGGCTGGACTGCTTGGAGCAGGAACGTTTCCTCTGATGGAGCTGTATTGTTCAGGTAAACAGTCCATCTTGACTGGATGAAAATGTTTCAGAATTAACGTCGAGATCCGTTTGCTCGTCCAGCATTATGTTTACGATTACTCTGAACCTCTCATCTTTAGGTCAGACTGTTGTTTTCAATCACTCTGGCCATCTACTATTTGCTTTTGCGACCCCCTTGGATATCAAGTGACCCAGACTTTTCCTACACAGAAAAACACATTTTCAAAAACCTCTGCATATGCGGCGCTGATGGTGTAGGGGTTAAGCGCGCGACCATATACAGAGGCTACAGTCCTCGAATGGCAGCTGTCCCGGGTTCGAGTCCCGGACCCGGCGACATTTACCAAATGTCTCCCCCTCTCTCTACCCCTCTTTCCTGTCTACCTACTGTCAAAAATGGAAAAAATAAAGGCCACTAGTGCTGAAAAAATATCTTAAAAAAAAAACCTCTGCATAGAAATTCCCAATTTTGGATTCTGTTGTTTTTCATTTTTATTGTTGAATAGTTTAAAAGAAAATATACTCTAATAATTATTTACTTCATTGGATGAACCAGTGTTTTGTCTAAACAACTTACAACTCGTCAAAGAACCAACTTTAAATAGGATCTTTAGGCACATTGTTGATAGAAGCCTGCAAATAGGTACAATCAGTTCATTTTTTTCTGCTTGAATTAATAAAGAGACCAAAAAAATAAGAGTTTACAACATAAAAATATTATTTGAGCTCCAGAAAGATTAGCAGAAACTCAGCATCTTTAAGTAATACTCCTCGTGATGACGGGAGAACATTATTTTACAACTGTATTTCTCATTAGACATTTAGTGAGCTTATAAAGTCCCAATACACATACTTCAAGACTTGAATTTTGTTAGCATAGAAGATTTTTATTATTCTCACTGGGTAGACTTCAAAGAAAATCGTGTTATTTTACAGAGAGAGAACTTGTTAGTCACTTGCTGGCACACAACATATGCAAGAAAACTATATACCTCCTAGCATCACATCGTCCCGCTGATTGTGTCACATTGAGGATTTACACAGCCGCTGAATTCCCTGAAACGTAGCAAAACTTGCGTGTGGCCAGCTTTGATTCACTTCTGAGGCTGTTAACTAATCTAGCTTTGTCTTTTGAAATGAGAAACGAGCTTACACAATCGTTATGAAAAATCTGCCCACTTGTTTCAAACGAGACGGGGCGGTGGAGAAACTTGCTTTGAAGTTATAGCCGGAGTGTGACTGAGAGGATGACACTTTCTGTGGGCGGTAATTGTCTGAAACGACTATCAGAGGAAGCAGGCTGCTTTTGACTGTGATTCACTTTTCAGGCATCAGAGTGCAGCCGGTTGACCTCAATTAACAGCATAAATGGGTACAATGTTACACAGCCACACACACACACACACACACACACACACATTTCTTTCCACTGTAAAAATGTGCCCGTTTCCTCCAGGATGGAGAAAGTTTAACAAATTAGTCTGTCGCTTATTCTTTCACTTAAAGTCAAAGGCATCTGGCAGTGGTCTACTTCAGGAGTAAGCGTAATTATGAATTATGATCAGATATGAATGCTGCAGCACGATATAAATGCATGAAAACTCAGGGATTCACCAATAAAGACGAGAGTTAAAATGAATTTTAAAGGCTTGAGCAAAATAAGCAGACAGTCGGGACAATGGTGGGTGGGGAAGCACAAGACAAACATCAGACTGATGGACTAGATGAATACAAGTAGGGAGAACATAAATACTTCGTGAGCTAAATATGAGCTACAATGGCTGCTGGTTTAGGAAGAACCTGACAACCAAAGCACAAAATGGAACAGGAATCCAATAAATGAATGAAGACAGGGAAGATTTACACTGAAAGAGGAAATCAAACATGAAGTTCTCCTGTGCTGATCACAAATTAGGTAAACTGGTTAAACGTGAGAAAAATCTCTGTGAAACAAAGCAAAACTAATGTTATTGAATCCAGGTCAATTGACCCCTTTGCTAATCTGTTACCTTTTTTTTTACATATATATATATATATATATATATATATATTTTTTTTTATTTATTTTTTTTTTTATTATTTATTTATCTTTTTTTTACATATTTTTATTAGTCATGTGTATCCGTTTTTTTTTTTTCTTTGTAATTAGGCTGCAGCTGCAGTATTTAATTGAATTATGCTTTATTTTCCTCATTTATTTTTTATTTATGTTCTGATCCCTGTAGGGACCAGTTTGAGTGGGTGGTATGGTAAAAATATCTGTTATATGTAACATGACAAAATGTGAAAAACCTCCTGCTGTAGTAGAATAATGACGCCACCACTTCTAAAGCCAGTTAATTAGGATTAGTTTTATACATAAACCAGACCTCTCATGCTGTTTAATGAGCACTACGCATCTGAACATAAATGTACTTAATAATTTAAACTGAAGTTTGTTATTACGTATTTACTTGCTTGTATTTGTTTCATTAGGTTGTTTGGGAAGCAGAAACAATCTTAATGAGGAGTTTTAGAGGCCTGGCAGCAGTGAAGATGCTGCAGAAAAATGATAACGACTGCCACCCAGCTTTATGTTCTCAGCCATGGATTCTCATGTTTTTGGCTGAATAATAAATCTATCCATATATCTAGATGTGAGAGCTGCACCATCCAAAGTGAGATGGATGTCATCTTTTCTACTCAGACCCCTAAAAATTAAGTATAGCACAGAAAAACAATACTCTGAGAGGACTTTATCAGTATTGGGCAGTCCTGCCCAGGGCACAAAGGATAAAAGGTTGCTTGTAAAACAAACACCTCAGACACATTTACCTTAGACTTAAAAGGACACAGATTAAGATTTGTCTTCTCCTCAAAGTCTTTGCCTCACACTCACTGGGGTGATGCAGAATTAATGAGAGAAAACTGCTGGGGAGGTGATGGGCATGAAAGCATCAGACAACGTCTTCTGCTCTGAAAGAATTATTAAAGTGCCGGTTGCCAGGCGTAGACGAGGAGATCAGTGGAAGCCAGGCTCGGCGCAGCTCCATTCATGTCAGGAGGGAGGTCGAGAGCACGAAAATATGTTCTGTTTTGGCTCCCGTCATTTAGCACCATCTGCTCGGTCATTTGGGTGTTTGTGTTTGCTTTTTTTTTTATCCCCTGTAAACTTGACAGGGGGACAAATGCAGCGGGTGTGAAGCAAGATAGAATGATGGATGCTCTCTGCATGCAGAGTGTCAGCAACACAGCAGCCTAGATCAAGCAGGACCCAGCAGGGGAGTACGAGTCAGAAAAAACGAGATATCGTACCCCTCATCATTAAAATGTTCTGCTTTGTCTATTGCTTTTTCTTTAATAGCATGATTTAAGGCACCACACTTACTGCAGTATAATGTCACAGTGAAAATTACTGTTACTAACGTTACTGAAGCATTCTTACTTATACTTTTTATGTTGATACAAGCTTTAACAACCTTTAATTAGTAATCAATGACTGTCATTTTACTTGGAGTATAAATATGATCAGACAAAAAAGGCCAGCTTCTTTCTGCCACTCTTCAAAATAGGAAAGACCCGAGGTCATGCATTCCAAGTAAGCAGATTTGTGTTGAGATAGATATTTACATACAATGTATTTAGTAATGTAGTATGATTTTCTCACTGACATTAAATCAAACTAAACATGTTCTGTTCAGTTAGGATTGGCACAATTTTTTCTATTTGCTAAATTCTAGATAATTAGAGAGACATTTTTAAAGTATTTTTATGACTTTCTTAAATAATTGCTGTTTAAACTGTAAGACGCGGGTCAAACATGGTGGATATCCTCCCACAAGCTTCTCACAATCGCTTCTGGCGATTCCTCCTGACAGAACTGGTTTAACTAAGTCAGGTTGCAAAAATATGGTTGTTGGGATTGATCAAAAAGGCTAACCAAGCCTGAATCATTGAGATGGATCTTGAGGGCTGTTATAGTCCGTAAAGAGGAGGTGGTCCTGGTACGGTTCCAAAAAAACTCTAGAGTGCTTTGTTTATGGTGTGAATGTGATCCGAGCTCAATCGGACACATCTACCAGGTTTGAGTAGCATTGTGGGGTGTGGTAGAGCAAACAAAGGCCACATCAATGGACAATACTGGGAAGTTAACACTCGGTGGTGCAGAATGGATTTCCCCAGTTTTCAGTAAGTTCATGCATAAAACCTGCTAACACACAAGAACGTAAGAACCAGGGTGATCAGCTGGTTTTAGTAACAATATGAGCAGGCAATGCTTGACAGGTTCAGATCTAGATTCTGATAATAAAGATCAGACCGAGTTCAAGTTTCAAAGTGGTCATCTGTACATGGTTAAGCCAGTTTGACTCCAAAAACCCACCAGGTATGTTGAATATTGAACACTGCCATGGATGGTGAACAAACACAAGGATAATGATCGCCTTCAAAATCTAAATTAGAAAATATTTTGCTATACTAAATTTTCTGCACAGTGGCACAGTTGCTAGCACTGTTGCCTTGCAGCAAGAAGGTCCTGGGTTCGACTCCTGGCCGGGGATCTTTCTGCATGGAGTTTGCATGTTCTCCCCGTGCATGCGTGGGTTCTCTCCGGGTACTCTGGCTTCTTACCACAGTCCAAAAACATGCCTGTTAGGTAAATTGGCCTCTCTACATTGCCCTTAGGTTTGAATGAGTGTTTGCATGGTTGTTTGTCCTGTATGTCTCTGTGTTGCCCTGCGATGGACTGGCGACCTGTCCAGAGTGTACCCTGCCTCTCGCCCGTAGACTGCTGGAGATAGGCACCAGCCCTCCGTGACCCAGTATGGAATAAGCGGTATAGAAGATGAATGATTGAATCCTTTTTAATTTTTTACATTTGAATGGTTTCTGTGTTCGCTTCAGCTTGTTAGAGACCTGTCAGGACAATGGAAATACATACAGATCCATTGTGGTATGTGGACAGGCTGTACTGTAGTAGCAGGCATGGTGGGGTTAATTGGTAGCATTGGACTCTTAAGTCTGTCTTCCTGAAAATCACCCTTGACGGTACTAACAGTTGATGCAGCAGTTCTGCAGGTCTCTGCAGGAAAAGGTTGGAACGTAGGAATCGTCTTTTGCAGCCTGATTGCATACACCAGGCCATATGGTTGTTATTTGATCTTGAAACATTAATGATTAAATCATAATTGTCACATGAAAACATTCAGAGGACTACAAATGTGTCATCTCATGGCAAACATGAAAAAATATTCAAAAGAGAGAAAAGGTAGATGCTTCTATTGCCTTTTTCAGTTAAATGTTAAATATTCCCACTGTAGGGCAGCTAATTTTGGTTTCTCAACGACTAATGAAATGACCAG